GCTGAATAATAACTAATGTAGTTAAGCTTGCATTTAGGAGCCATGCTGTTATTAAATATTCATATTCAATATGGTGAGAGCATCACATCACAGACATGTGGAATCTACTACCAAATGAAGGAACATTCTAACAGACAACTGGGAACTGAAACTCACATTTGGGATCTGCAACCAACAGTGGGAAGAATATCTAAAATGTAGTAAAATTTAATTATGACAGAGAAATTTTCTAAATCTAGAATGAGGTTAATTTAATGCATCCAATAGCACTGGTGTAAAATTTGTGTCAGTTTTCTTGGGTTTCTCTAAAAGAATAAATAGTAAGCCTAAAAAGGAACAATTTAAAAAGTCTTTAGAATGCTGTTTTCCTGTGACTAACAAAAAGCTCTTACAACAATTGTAACAAGGAACAGAAAGACAGGCCTCTCTGTGGAAGGCGCACTCAGCTTTCCTAAGCTTCACTCACCTAGAGCAGAGCACAGCTCTACTCTACAAGGACTCTTTGAGCTAATCTTGATCAAGTCCTAATACACTGAAAGCAGCTGGCCAGGGACATCTGGATTATTAGTCTTGCATTCCTAAGGTTGCTTTCAGTGTGAACTGACCACCTGAGTTGGTTAAGTAAGCACTGTCTGACTATATGAGCAATTGTATTTGATTTACATCCGGTTCTTTCTTCTGCTGGCTGAGGCCATGATATCTACTCATCTTTGTAAGCTTCTTCTTGCAGGGACTAAGTATGCTCAGTCACTGGATTATCATCTGCTCCAAATGGCCTAGCCACCTGTCATGTGCCAGTCTCTAAAGATCACCAGCACTGGATGGCTTTCAACCTTTCCTTACTTTACTCAGAATCATTTGCATGTGTAACACACTTTCATCAGTAACACCAACCGTTTAAAAAAGCGATTCATAGAAAGCTGAGCTTCTCAGAACACAGTAAAGAGGGCACATTAAGTAAGGAAATCATTCACCTAGAAGTTTTTACTGCCACTTTTCACTTATCAAAGTGAACTGTGAATTTATAGCCCACTTCGCCAGCCATAAGTGATATTGCACAGATTACAGGAAAGTTAAGAACAGAGAATTAGATTCTTCTTCTGGGGGAGGGGAAAGAAGGTAAATCTTCCAAAAAAAAAAAAGACAGTAAGATAGCTTGATAGACAAATTATGCTCTTGAAAAGCGATGTTTCTCCACTAGTGATACCAAATGCAGACAAAACAGTAAAATAAAAATCTAATATAGGCACATAACATTTATTGGTACAGCAATTCCTGTACTAGCAGCTTTAATTATGTTGGTTAATACTTCTAAAAATATAGAAACTAAAGAGCAAAATGTTTCTGTAACTAATCCATGGTCGCATAGTAAGGAAATAATGAAAAAGGACAAAAATTCAAAGGTGTTCAAGTCCACTACCTGGATTTTCACCTGCACACTCTAAAATCCAAGCTATAGAAAACAGATTTAATGATCATAATGCCACGAGATAAATATAAACATGCCCACCAAAAGAAAAATAAGAAAACGACACTACTGGGAAAAATCACACTTAATAGAGTAACTGTAGAGGCTGGAGAGATGGCTCAGTGGTTAAGAGCACTGGTTGCTCTTGCAGAAGACCCAGGTTCAATTCCCAGCACCCACATGGTGGCTAGCAACTAACCGTAACTCCAGTTCCAGGGGATCCAACGCCTTCTTCTGACCTCCGAGGGCACTACACTCATACACACAAAAAATTAATCGTATTCAATTTCCTATGCAATTAACAGTATTCCCTATACAATCCTTAAATTTCTCATGCCCTACAATCACACAAACAAGTATTCTTTTAAAGAGACTGTCTCTTCTCATTTAAGTGTTTAAACAGTGGTCTATTAAAAGGGAAATAAATTATTACCAAACTTAGAACTTACATTTATATTAGTTAGGGACTCTCAAAGAAAGAAAAACATTGTTAGTATTAGAAAACTATGTCAATGCCATAAAAAAAAAAAGGAGCAGCCAAAAAATTTTTTAAAGAAAATATAGTAGGAACTATAGCAATCTGATCATTTTTCCATTTACTACAGGAGAATAAAGTGAACTTTTCATGTGAATGACCTTATCAATATTATTTAGAAAACAGGAAAACTGCATTTATTAAAAGCAGTTCATGCAAACTTTCTAATGATACATTTATGTAATAAAACAACCCTGACAGTATCATAGGATAGAATAATACCTTTGAATATGTCATCTATTATAAACCTTCAAAACCTCAGAAGAGCCAAAATTACCAAAGCCTAATTATTTCTCTTAACACGAACAGAAATTAAGACCTACAGTTATCATCTATTAATCCAGTGCCAGGATCTGCCCAACAGTGCTCAAAATACTTCTTATTGGTTATCCCAACAGAAAACAAAACTCAGAGCTAGAATAAAAAGATTTACAACTTTCTTAAGATATTCTAAGAAATGATGTTTTCCTGATAGCCTATGGTTTCTTGTTTTCTTTAGTCTACTAGTTAACCTTTGATAGCATATCTGAATTCTAATTCAGACTTAAACCTATTTTCTCAAATGGAAATAATATTTATAATTACCAGCTGAATATATATAAAGCACTAAGCATGGTATTTGATCACGGTGCTCAATAAAGAGTTGATACTGTGATTTTATTTTATCAGTTTTTAAATATGATTCCATTCACAAAAATGTCTATTCAGCTCAAGTAAACTGGTTGTAATTATACATTTTAACTGTATGTCTTGCAAATATTTTCATTTACAGGTCAAGGGCTTTAAGGAGATGGATTAGCTCCAATTAAAATCCAATTCAGATTTAAGTGCTGGGGAAAAACTGACTGAATATTTCAATTACATACTCAAAGACTTTTTTTCTACTGATACCACTCCTAACACTTCTCTGCCTTACCTGTATGAGGGACATTTTGAAACTCTCCTACAAGCAATTTTACCCTATCACATGTTGGCAGAATATATATATATTTTTTTATTATTTTATGTGTATGAGTGTATTGTCTGCATGTATGTAAGTGCACCCGTGTTGTACAATGCCCACGGGGGTCAGAAGAGGGCATTGAATCCCCTGGAACTGGAGTTATCAATGGTTGTTAGCTGCCATGTGGGTGCTGGGAACTGAACCCAGGTCCTCCTCTACAAGAGCAACCATGCTAAAAGCATGTTTGAATGCTGAGTCAACTCTCCAGCCTCCCACTACTTTTAAGTCTTAAAGCTGAGTAAGGATGAGGGTAGTCTGAAAATCTGGAGCTCTCAATCCCAAAAGACTAAAGTGATAGTTATGGGTCTATAGGTTTCCAAGGTCTTAAAGTGATGATGATAAGCCTAACTGTGTTACACATCAGCAGTGAATTACATTTCCAAGGCAAGTCTAGGATGTCCTGGAATCCTGACAATGTCAAAGAGCAGGTATGGCAGTCAACACTGTTTTAAAAGCAGTTATGAATGATGCACTTGCATCCTATAGGTTAACTTTGAGGAGATTCATAAAGGAATGCTTATTCTGGTGAAGATTCATAAAGGAATGCTTATTCTGGTGAAGAATAAACTAAGAACTGTTGGTAAAGGGTATTTTGTAACATTTAAGAGAAATATTCCAGACTTTTTTTGAACCTACTGTGTTCAGTTAACCTATTGGTAGATTTCTATATTGGCAGCATACTTTAGAAATACTTTCTGTATTCTAAATAGTCTGACAGACCTAACTCCATGAAAGAAATATATCCTATAATGTTCTCAGAATGGCTTCTTGGTTAAGAGGTAATTCATAGAGTTGGTTTTATTAAAACAAGAATTAATGTAAGATGTTATTCAAGTAGGAGCTATCTTTTAAGTACAATATATCGGATACCTTTCTATTTCTATTAAGAGAGGTTGATTTTTATTTTACATTTAGCACATCCTTGATAACTAAGTATGTACATGTTAAAAATCGCCACCCACTGTGGAGTTGCCTTATTGGTTCCTTCTGAAAACACAGCTGCCTAACACCCTGTGTTTGTAACTTTTCTGAAATCCAGTAGGTCCAGTAAGAATGCTTTCTATATCACTACTCTCTCATCCCCAACTCTGAAGGGTCTAGAGTTTACAGAAATCAAAGTGAAAACACAGGACAACAGACCATTAAAGAGGGTAACTAAAGATACAATTCTTGCCACTCTTTTCAGTATCAACTGCTGGCAAACAAAGGGCAGATCCGTCTTACACAGTGAATGATGCAGTGTCTGTTTCACTGTGTATGAACATTAATCAAAGCTGGTCCATAGTTTACTAACCTTCTTCTGGATATTGCACAGAAATCTAAAATTTTTTTTAAAAGTCCAACTGTTCCGCTTGATCTTAAGGGATTTAAACAGTCAACTTCTCTGACTAGCTAATCTAAAATTAAAAAGACAAAAATTAAGTATTTACATAATAATTGTTATCTGTGGTGGCCCTAAGCATATTTAAATGATGGGGGATGGCTACTGACAGATTACTGGGTGGCTACCATTATTACCTACATTTTACAGGTGGAGACACTGAGGTAGAGGTTAAGTGGCTTCTACAAACTATTATGAGTCATATCATGAGTTCAAATCTCTTGACATTTATAGTCCAGTGCCTGCTATATATCATGAATCCTTATTTTAATTTCTGAGAGAATAAAACTGACTATAATACTAAGAATTTGCAGACAATAAATTTTTAATGAGTATTTCCCTAAAAATAAAAAGACCTGCCTTTAAAGAAGAGCAAGCTTCTTTCAGAAATGTCAATTATCTCTATCTGTATTTTAAAAATCATTTAAAGTCTTAAATGCTTAAGAGTTCTTCACTTCAACACACAGTCATTGCTGGTTCTTATAAATGAAATGGGGTGTAACAACCAATCCTTCTACTTTTTACTTCTAGGTTACTTTAAACAAGGAACTATACTTTTTTCCCCCTTGGTATTTCCCTTTTGAAAATAGAAACAGAAAAACTTAATTCCTACCTGGCATAGATAAAGTAAGGAAGAATTTACTGTTTGTGGCCTGCTTTGAGATTCCAGAATGAAATACATAATCCAATTGATCTTCAACCCTAAAAAAAGGGCAAACTTCACTGAAAATAGTTGCTTCAGCAGATGCCTCCAAAATACCATACTACAGCATTACTTACAGAAACATAATCAGATCTTGAATATAATGAAATGAAAGGGGAGGAAACCTTCCAAATTTACTCAGAAAATCCTTCTCCTCATTTTAAAAAAAAATGAATAGTTCTGTTCTCCATTGTTTCTTCTTCAGGGAGTACAGTAATTCTATTCTTAAATTAGCAGAAATTGGATGCATTTACTAATGAGAACGCTGACACTCAAGAAAATGATGCAACCAACAGAAATAGTAAGGCATAAAATACCAAATCAATAAACCTTATAAAGTAAGTTTTGTTATATTTTATTTAAAGATTTGTTTTTGGACAACTACATATTACTGGAGGATAAATCTTTAGTAAATCTTAACCCTGTTAAGTGTTCAGATTGCTTCACATGGTATGACAGGTATAGATAATTCTTAAAAATTAAAGCTTTAGTAAATATAACAGTAAGTGTGCTGTCATTCTTTGACAGTGCAAAAATGAAGAAATGTTATTAACCTAGAAGCCTAGAAACCGAACCAAATACTGGGCGGATACCGAGTGTAGACAGAAGACAAGGGTGTCCTATCACTCTTTAGGGGTTTAGTAAAAAGTAAAACAAATGGCTGAAATAAAAGGCTACAGTAAACAAATGGGAAAATACGATTTATGGAGGAAAAAACCAAATCAAGATTACAGACTAGAAACTGGTGCGGGATGGAGGTTAGGGGCCACTGACAGGTTACCAAAAGAGAACTGAGTGGGGGCCTCTCTGAAGCCAAGGTGGGACAGGAGAACTCTACCGCAAGGAGAGGCTTAAGAACAAAACCCAACATCCTGCCCCCAATCAACAACTAACCAAAGGGAACGAAGATAAGTACCAAGGGAGGAAAATAGACATAGCAGAGAGAAGCCTGGTTGGACGGCCAGGAGCTGAGGGAAGGAGCCTGGATGCGGAGTGAGGGGGGTAAGTGGTAAAAGGATGGACACGTTGCTTCCAGCCCAAGACCACCGGAGTCAAAGGGCAGGTGGGCGCGGAGTGAAAGCAGAGCTGCCAAGGGGGTAGAGGGTCCCGGGCGGGGGCGGGTGGGGGGCCAGGCGGCGAGGATGGAGCGGGTCGATGGGCCGGCGGGGGCTGGACACCGAGGTGTCATGTGCAGGACGGGCCGGTGGAGGGACGCGCGGCCCGGGCAGCCAGCGCAGGGAGCACCAAGCACGGAGCACAGAGCAGGGAGCACCAAGCAGGGAATACCGAGTGAGCAGCGCGCCGCCGCCCCTCCCGTCCCCGCCGACCTTCAGCGGACCCAGAACCCGGCTCCGAGCGCCTGCAGCAGGCCGAGGCCGGGACCGGAGAGCGGGGACCAGGAGCAGGAGGCCGCTTCCTGCCCGGCCCGGGGAAGAGGGACTGAGACCCGGGTCACGGGAGTCGGGGGGACAGTGAGGGGCTCACCTCTTAGCCGGCTCGGCCTCTCCCCTCGTCTGTCCTTTGGAGGAGCTCTGCGTCCAGCTGGAAGACGGCCCTACCCGGGTCAGCACCATCCCGCCCCGGGCCCACTCACATCGCTATCACAGCCACCGCAACCACCGCAACCCTGGAGTCGGCTCGGCTCGTCACAGGCGCTGGGCTCCCGGCCCAGCGCAGCCAGTGAGCATGCGCAGTCGCCTCCGTCCCGAGGGCGCCCCAGACAGTCGGCGGTACCTGCGTTCAACAGGTCCCGGTGCTAGGCTCCGCCCCCGACAATCTCCCCTCCCCGCGCCCGCCTCTGCCCTCCCCTTCTGAGGCGAGGCTCCGCCCCTCGGGCCCCGCGCCCCGCCCCCCAGGAGTCGCTGCGGCCGCGCCCGCTTCGGAACCAACCGGGATTTCAAGATTTGTTCTCCTCCAACTCGCATTCCCGAGATCCCGCGAGAGAGGGAGGCTTGCGTCAATAAAACGCGCGAGCCCAACAGAGAGTGGGAGCTTCGAGATCAGAGCTCAGAAAGAAGCCGAAGGGACCAGAAAGGGTGGTTTAAGGCTGGAGTCGGTTCTCACGTCACTCTCCGCGCGTTATCCTTTCTCCTCGCGTCACCGTTACTCCTTCCCCCTTCTCTGCTTGCACCCTGGCTAGAGCCGGCCTCTCGGTGCAGTAGGAATGGAAGCTGCGGAGGATCTGCGCCGACCCCAGCCTTCGCACTCGGAACCCACTGGTGATGGTGGCGATGTGTGGGTGGTGATCCAACAGCTTCTCGATGGATCAAGTCCCATAGGCTAGAAACCTTCGTATCTTCAATTCCAGGAACAGAAGCCCATGCTGAGCAGACTTTTATTGGTTTCCTTCTTTCCTCTGTTCCCCACTGTTCCAGCCTCACTCTGCATGAAAGCTTCAGTGGAACCCTAAAGCCGAGTTAATGAAAATTTAGACTACAGTTTGTGATGAAAATGAGTTTGGAGGATGGCCAGTGGTGTGGGCTGTACAGTATGTAGGGACGTGAAGGCCCTGATCTGTACGTTAAAATAGTTAAAATGGCAAAATTTATGCATATTTTGCAAAAATAAAGATGAATTCAAAGGAAAGTTTTGTGCTCCGTGCGGTCTAATGCTGTTACCTGGTGCCTTAAGGCCCTTTGGGCGCAAGTGCTGAAGATAATTTAGCCATTGGCTTTTCAACTTTGGACAAATTTTAAACAAATTGGAAGTGCCCCAATTATCCCCTGGTAACTAGTCTGTTAGCATTTGCATAAAGGACTCCTGGGGCATTCACTCTGATCTCCGTTTATAGATTGAGTCATTTGCGGGTGATAAGATGGGTGCCCACAAGACTCCAGGGTACATTACTTTAGGAGGTTATATTTCTTTAACAGCAGATAAGAAATTGAGCAAAGCAAAATTTCATTATAGGACTTCCTTCGTGGGTACAACAGCTACATGTCCGAACGGCAAATATATTACTTCATAACTTAATGTAACTTTATTTCATGACTTAATGGGCATGTCCTTTCTGAAAGGACCATGATATAAAATTTAGTTACCGTAGCAATCCTCCAGTTGAAAAGAAAGTGGGTTTGGTGGTTTACACCTGTAATTGCTGCACTTGAGAGGCTGGGCTATCCACGTGAGAGCCTGCCTCAGTGAGTGAGTGAATGAATGAGTGAATGAATGAATAGGCGTTCTTTCTTTTTAAATTGATAATGTTGACTGGTTGTTGGATGGACAAGTAAGACTTGCTTGATCGTACTGAATATATTAAAGGAGAAAAATGGGATCTATAAAATAAATGCAGTTTTATAATGCATATGCCATAGTCTTTAATAATACCAAGAAAACTCTGATACTGCACAATTAATTAAACTGCAAAATAGTTTTTGCTATATGGTATGCAAACAGTGACTTCTGGGTTGCAATTCAGATTACTGAGACTTCTGGGTGACAGAGCGCTTGCTTGGATCAGAATCTGTCAGGCAGAAGACAGTCCTCCCACCACGGTGCCTCTGCATCATTTCTGTGAAGTATAATTATCTAGTATCAAGTGACAGCACTGACATGACTTGAATTTTTCTTTTCTTTATATGCCTGAAACTCACCATGTTTTTTTTTAAAATGTGATATTTATACTAATTATCCCTAGCTTTGTGATAGCAAACACACTAGAGCAACCATCTCACTTTTCTAATGACTCACACCCTTATCTGAAGTCCTGATCTTCAAGCTAATTCCAGCCACATTTCTCTGGCTTCACATCAGATTGCTTGTCTTATTTTTACTCATGGCCCCAGCTGGACTCATCCTGATCCCTCTTTCTTGTCACACACAGATCTTTCTTCCCCAGTCTTCTGGGTTCTTAGAGTATCTCTTCCAGTTGCCTTGGCTGAGCCCACAACCCCAAGCTGTTCTAGATACTTCTCCGAGTATTGTCTCACATCTCCATTTCCATATCTTGTTTCAGTTTCCAAATATTTTTCTTTCAAAAAATTTTATAACTCCAAGGAAAAGTCAGACTTGGACAAAAAGAGGAACATTACTTCTAGTGAGACTAGGAAAAAAGATCTAAGGCAGTATTGCTGGAAATGAAGGAAACATCAATTTTATGTCTATATTTTAGAGTAAAAAAGGTAGAGTTAAGTAAAACTACAAGCATTATGTAAGCTATTACAATATCTTCTAGTTTTCAGGTGTAATAATAATTGGCTTTTATTGAACCATTATAATTTATTGGGTGCTAATCTTTATTTGAGACAGGCTCTCACTCTGTAGCCCAGGCTGGCTTGGAACTTGCTATGTAGACCAGCATATTTTGTCATTGTTTAGTGAATTGTTCATTTAGTTTTGAATCTATTAAATTTTTGTCTAACCCAAATCATATTAGTTACTTTTCATGCCACTGTGACAAAATATCTGATAACAATTTAAGGAGAGAAAGGATTTATTGTGCTCATAGTTTCAGAGGTATTGGACCACTGCCCACAAGGTTTGGCAGAGCAGAGCAATTCATGTCATGGAAGGGCAGAGAAAATGAATGCCAGTAATTGCCTTGCATGGTTTGAGAAACGTCTCCCATGGGCTCAGAGATTTGAACACAGTTGGTGGCCCTGTTTGAGGGGGTTATGAACTCTAGGAGATATAACCTTGCTTGAGGAAGTGTATCATGAGGGAAGACTGAGAGTTCATAACCTTGACCCAGTTCCAGTTTGCACTGTCTTCTTGTGTGGCTGTTGAAGATGTCAGCTCTCTATTTTTGGCTCCAGCTGCTGTGCCTTTCTGTCACGATAGACTTTTTTTTTTTTTTTTTTGAGATAGTGACCCCAGCTGTAGCCCCAGCTGGCCTGGAACTTGCTATGTAGACCAGGCTGAACTTGATTTCACAGAGAAGGGCCTTTCCTGAGTGCTGGGACTAAAGGCATGTGCAACTGCAATCGGCTCCATAATAGACTCATCCCTTTGGAACGGTAAACCAAAATAAACTATTAAGTCTCATTTAATCGTGGTGTTTTATCATAGCAACTAAAAAGTAAGACAGCATACTTTATTTTTTTCTTTTTTATATTTTTAGAGCATTTTTATTCTATTTGATGTGTATGAGTATTTATTTTGCCTGCATGCAAGTAAGTGTACGTATGTCATGCAGTGCCCAGAGGCCAGTAGAGGTCCCTAGATTCCCTAGAGCTGGAGTTAAAGTCTGTTGTTAGCTGCCATGTGGTTGGTGGGAACTGAACCTGAGTCCACTGTAAGAGCAGCCAGTGCTCTTAACCACTGAGCCATCTCTCCAGCCCCTCTTTTTTTCCTTTATGCTTTAGCAGGCCCCCAGCTCATGGCATGTTGTCATCCACATTCAGGGCAGGTCTTTCCATCTCAGTTTATCTTCTCTGAAAATTACCCCACAGACACATTCAGAGTTGTGTTTCACTATTCCCCATGTGTTGATTAATCAAGTTTATAATCCAAATTAACATCACACAAGGTTCCAAAAGATTTTTCTGCTGTTTTGCAATATAATTTTAAATATAAATTCTAGTTTGAGTTTTGAATTTTTTTAAATATGGGAATTTATTCAGCACAGCTTTTTGTGAAGACAAAACCCAAAAATAAATGAATAAAGCAAACAACACAAAATAAAATGCATTTCATGAATCATTTATGCCCTGAGTTGTTGAAAACCAAGAGGTCTTATATGAACATGTCTGTTTCTGGTTTCTACTCTATTGCTCTGTCTGTATTGATGCTATCCTCTGTCATGAGAAACTCTGTGTGTGTGTGTGTGCATGTGTGTATTCCTGTATTTTCCTGTGTAGGGGTGCATGTGTGTGCACATGAACATGGAGGCCAGAAATCAATCTCAGGTGTCATTCCTCAGATGCTATTTACACTTTTTAAATGAAAGACAGGATCTCTCAGTAGTCTGGAGCTCACAAAGTAGGCTAGGCTGGGTGGCCAATGAGCTCTGGGCATCCACTTGTCTCTACCTCTCCAGTGCAGTTTACTGCTGAGGTCTGATTTTATCTGAAAATACTTTATAATATATCCTTTTCAAATAGAAGAAGTTCTGTTCTCCTTTTTCACTCTCATTTTCAAAATGAGACAGTCTCACTATATTGTGTAGGCTGGCCCCAAACTTCTGGGCTCAAGCAATCCTCCTGCCTCCAACTCTGAAGTAGCTGGGAACACACATACACATCAACACACTTGGATTCTTCTGCATTTATTATAGTTTGGGTCCTAGTTTCCACCAAAGGCCATATATTAAAGACTCGGCCACACTATAGGGAGGTGATACAGACTTTTAGAAAATTGGTCCTCATGGAAGACAGTGAAGTCATGGGAAACATGCCCTTAAAGGGGATTATGTGATCTTGGCCCTTCTATCTCTTTGCTTCCTGGCCACCATGAGGTGAACAGAACTCGTTGCTATGTGTTTCCTGCCATGATGATCTGCCTCACTACACAACCAGAGTGATGGGGCAAATAAACCATGACCTAAAATCCCTGAAACCACATACATTCTCCATATATCCAGAAGGTAATTTTGTACAATATTTAATTTGTCTATGTATGAAACAAAGTTTGATGATGTGGAATTTTCCACTTGTGGTATCTATCATGACATTGCTTAAAACTTTTAGATTTTGGAGCATTTAAAATTGTAGATTTTTCAATTAGAGATGCTCAACATGTATTTCATGTTGTCTGAGGAAGTTTGTTCTGCCTGACCATTTATTAAAATGAAAAGATGATTGAATTACTAAATGGGAGCACTGGATTTGAACTTGAGGGCTGTCACTATGCAAATGTAGGCAAGACATGATCATTCCAATC